AGGTTTCGTGCCCCTCCCACCCCTCCAGGGAGGCCCCACCAGAGCGCAGATAAAGAAGCAATGGAACCCCATAACATCTTTATGTGGGGAATTCCGTTAGCATAATTTTTGTTAGGCTCTTGTCCACCCTGAGGAGGCTGCACTCGTATGTTCTGTGCGTTTTGGCCGGCGGAGGGTCTCGTGTTCTTGAGGGATGTTCTTTTGGCCCAGGTCCGACTGGACATGGTTGGCGTTTTCCAACCCCTAGCGGCGTTTCTGGCGCCGACTCATGAAATCCGCGCGGACCTCCGATTGTTCCTTACCTAGGCTCTGCCTAGAAGGGTTCTTACTGTGTGTGCTTAAAGGGCCGGGCAGTGTTCCACGCCCCCGGCGGTTCCCCCAGGATCCGCCCCGCGGTTCCCCCAGTGACGTTCCCTTAGCTTAGCGTTGCTTATCTCATCTTAGCTTTAGCTTAGCTTTAGCTTAGCTTAGCTTTAGCTTAGCTTTAGCTTAGCTTTAGCTTAGCTTTAGCTTAGCTTTAGCTTTACCTTAGCTTAAGCTTAGCTTTAGCTTTAGCTTAGCTTTAGCTTAGCTTTAGCTTAGCTTCAGCTTAGCTTTAGCTTAGCTTTAGCTTAGCTTTAGCTTAGCTTTAGCTTAGCTTTAGCTTAGCGTTAGCTTAGCGTTAGCTTAACTTTAGCTTAGCTTTAGCTTAGCTGTAGCTTAGATTTACCGTTACTACTAATGCTGCTTTCCTAGGGGCTCCAACTCCTAGGTAGGGTCGCACTGGGATAATTTATATAGTCATTCGTACTGCTCTGTTCTTTCAGTCCTGTCGCGAATGTCTGGGCCCTTCGTCGAGCACTTCCTTCTTGTGTCCGAGAGTATGTCCCCCACTCCCACGTCACTACAGCATCTTCTCGTCGGCAGGTGGGGTGTATTCGCGGGTGGGGTATATGATGCGCCTTTGTCCGCTGCGCCGCTAGGATTACTTGACTCCTCCGTGTCTATCGCTCCCCGCGGGGGAGGTGATGCTTCGCGCCCTCCTCCTAAGAGATCGGTGCCGCCACTGCCATTTAGGTTGCAACTCCTGGGAGGTCGAATGCAGAATCGGCGTTGGTATTTTCCTTGGCATACTCGGGTCTGCTCCAGCCCAGGTCGGCTGAGTCCAGGCTCGTCCAGCTTACAACAGTCACGGCTGTTTCTTGGGCTCAGTTGTGCCGAATTTGGCCTGATGGCCCCCTAAGGCGCGCTTGCCAGTCCTTAGTCGTTTAGTCTTAGCTCCGAGGAAATCCTTGGCCTATCTCGGCGCGCGGCACGTCGCCGCCGCCGCCGCAGCCGCCGTTGTCGTCGTCGTCGTCGTCGTCGTCGTCGTCGTCGTCGTCGTCGTCCACACGTCCGCCCCGTAAGATATGCACGACATTCGCGCTTCGATGTTCCGACGTAAGTCCGCCGTAAATCCGACGTGAATCTGACGTGGATCCAATGTAACTTGAGTCTAAAGTTTCCGCGACACTTTCGCTGGACGGCCCAGCCACGTTGCCCTGGATGCGCACGTTTACGTTTTGCTTTCTCTGCGCAGGCCAGGGTTTCGGTGTGCCTGGGCCAAGGCCTCCCTGGGTAACGGTAGCGATCGTACGTTTTGGGGGAGGCCTGGCTGGTGCCTGCCAGTGCCCGTGGCGGTGCTCGTAGGCGCCCTGCCGGTGCTCTCAGGCTTTGCGCAGGCGACCGCATCGCAGGCCCGTGCTGTCTATGCTCGCAGGCATAGCGCGGTGTTCGCGCGCATACTGTGGCGATCGCAGCGCGCCCCCGCCCTGAAGTGCCCCCCGCCGCCCAAGCGTTACCATTACCCACGGCGGCACCCCTCCCCCCTGGTAGCGACCGTTGCGCGGAAGTGCTAGAGGAACGGTGTCGAAGTTGCAGGATGGCCCTCACGTGTCTCTGGGCTTGCCTGGCGCATGTGCTTTTGGACTCCAGTGGTACGATTGGCTCCCCTCTTTATGCAGCGCCGTCCTTGACACGTTTTGGTCTCCCTTGGGCATGCACGGGCCTCAAATCATGGGCCGATTCTCAATCACCCCTACCATAGGTAGGAGAGGGAGGAGGAAGAGGAGGAGCAGGAGGACCAGTGTAAACCCAAGAGTCATCAACGATGCTGGAATAAACCCTCCCTCCAAGCTCCCTCTTCATAGGCCCCTACAACGGTTCATTTCCATTGAGGGAACTGCCTCGTTGGAAGACAACTGATTGAAGACCCTGAAGCATGCCAAACCATTGTTCTTGGGATTCCAACGCCAGGGATCAACCTGACTGTTGTGTTTGACGATCCTGAATCGTGCCAGAACGCAATTCTTGGGACTTCACAACACCGCGAATGAACGTAACTGTTGCACCCTCATAATCCTGAATCCTTCCAGACACAATTTCTGGTACGTTTACCCTGGGAATATGTGAAACTCTTGCAATGTTTAAAGCGAATGTGCGCGGCGCTAAGGCGAGAGCCACATTTTGGAAACCACCCGCCCTCAATCCGTGAAACTCTTGCAAATGTTTAAAGCGAATGTGCGCGGCGCCAAAGCGAGAGCCGCATTTTGAAAACCACCCGCCCTCCATCTGTGAAGCTGTTGGTTGCCAATTTTGAAGCTTCAGGGTCATGAATGGTGAGGCAGTCTCAGGCGAAGCGGCCGGCCCGCCCTAAAATTTGGACTCGGGGTGCGACAGGGAGAAGTTATTTATAAGGAAAAGGAATGGAGCAGGAGGAGGAGGAGGAGCAGGAGGAGGAGGAGGAGGAGGAGGAGGAGGAGGAGGAGGAGCAGGAGGAGGAGAAGGAGGAGGAGGAGGATCTCCCCGTCCTCCCTTCTCCCCCGTCCCACCCATGGCATTGGGCCGCCATCATGACCCAGGAGCCGCCTCCCGATCACGTGGCGTGGCCCGGTCCTCCCCTTTCCTCGCCGCGCGGGGGCCCCCTCGGCGAGCGCCGTCGGCCGCGGCCGCCAGGGGGTGCGGAGGGCCCTGGCCGCTCGGCCCACGTTGCGGTCGCCGGGCCTCCGCGCCGGGGGCCGCCTGGGCCCAGGCGGGTAGCCGCGCTTCGCGCGTCGCGGCCTGGGCCGTGGAGCCGGCCTTCTCCAGGGCGGCGGCGCGGGGGCGCGGAGCTCCCAGACCCTGGAGCTTCGCCGGGCACCAGTCATTCAGAGGAAGGCCATACCGGACAGCGCTGCCCATCCCTCGGCCCCTCGGCCAGATCCGCCTCGAAGTCCTCGTCAGAACGGATCCCAGGGGATGTCCGAGGGGTACCGGTTTCAGTATCTTTTCGTTTCCCCAGCTCTTCGTCTTGAGTTTTGGTTTGACGGTCCTTGGGCCTCGTGGATGGCCCCGGGGCCCGAACACGGCGCAGATATTCCAGGACCCCTCTCCTTCGGGACCCGTTCCCCAGCTTGCTGAGCCGAAGATCGCTGGAGAGTGTTGACGGGTAGTCATCTCGGGTAACGTTATTTGCCCAGTTACCGCACCGATCCTGGCCTGGCCCATCCTGGGCCGCGCATCGGTTTGTACGGCCATCTAGGTTCGGCAAGTGAGGCATGCACACGGGTCCTTGGCCCAGGATCGGCCTGGCCAGGATAGGTGAGGTGGTCAGTTGGCGCCCCCCAGAACAGAAGGTCCATGGCCGAACACGTGAGATCTTGAGCGGCCTCCGCTCCCGGAGGTCCCCCGGAGGCCCTCGGCCTACCTGGGTCAGCGCAGAAGACTGCTGAAGATTGGCGGGGATCGCCAGAGAAGACCGATGGTCGGCGGCGCGCAGAGCGGGGTATGGGGGAGGGTGGGAGGCTTCTCAGAAGCACCCCTGCTCCTTAGCAGGCGCGGGCCTTGTCGGTAGATGTAAGGCCCGCACCTTCTAAGGAGCGGCCTCCTTCTAAGAAGCCTTCCCCCCTCTCCCTGCCCCGTTGTGCGCGCCGCCCTAAGCAGCAGCTTTTTGTCGGTCCCCAGGCGCGCTCCGGGGCGGCGCCAGGCGCGCCGCCATGGGGGTCCAGCGCCGATGCAAGACATCCGCGCAGACCTCCTAAAGTTTGCGTCTGTGCGGCCTTTAGTTCTTCTGCTCCTCTGTCTTTCTCCACCTCCCTGCTGCCAGCGCCTCCACGATGGGTCACGCGCGGTCCACGGTCGAACACACGTACGATCTTGAGCGATCTCCGCTCTCGCAGAGGTCCTCATGAGGCTCGCGGCCCCGTCTGTCTCATGGGCCAGAGCAGGTCTGGTCGGCGCTGGGGTCGGCCAAGCCCCTGGAGGTGATGCCCGGGAGGCCCGAGTGCTGACCCGATTCATGGTTCGGCGGCCAGCCCAGGGTAGAAGTGAGAAGCGGCGGGCCTTCTCAGGAGTCTCGGAAGTTCCCCGGTCTTCTGAGACATTCTCTGCGCCTTCCCCGAAGACAACAAGCCTCTCAGAAGGCCAGAGGCCTTCTGAGAGGTTTCGCCGCCGTCTGACAAGGCCTGCTCCCTGTCATTCCCCCCCTCGCTCGCCGCCGACTGAGGCGGCACTTCCACGGCTGATCGGTCAGTTCAGTGCTCGGGCGGCTCTGGTGGCACTCGGGCAATTCTCTCGGAACCCAGCGCTGACCTGTTTGTGCTTCTGTTCAGTATTGTTTAACCGATCCCTATCCCCATCCCCATCCACATCTCGAGCCCCACCGTCTCACCACCTCAGTTGGGGATATGCCCCTCGAAACCCGAAGAGAGCAGCTTATATCCCCTATCCAGGGGGGTAAATCGGCCAGTGGGGCCCAGCCCACGCTGGTCGGGATGAGGTTCGGTTAAACGATGCTCAACCGTTCCCTGTGCTCATCTCCAGCCCACGCTCGCTTGGGCGGCCGTGCGCCCTAGTCTTTCTCTAGTGGCCTCTGTGTGGTGTGTGTCTGTGTGTGTGTGTGTGTGTTTGTGTGTGTATGTGTGTGTGTGTGTGTGTGTGTGTGTCGTGGGATTCTTCCTCAAGAGCGCCACGCGGACACTGCTGGCGGGCAGCGCCACGCTGAGGTCTTGCTACCTCAACGACATCCGTGTTCTCGACACTGGCCGCATGCAGTGGTCGCGACTGCGGACACATGGAAGCCCGCCAACCGGCCGGTTCTTTGGCGCTGCCGAAGGTCCCCACAGAATTGCGGAGACCCTGACCTCCGCTGTCACGATTTTATCACAACGTTGACCTCTGGAAGGCTCGACCCATTCCCCAGGACCGTCTTTTCGGTAGTCTTTTGATGGTCCCAGGGCTCGGAGAGGGTCCTTGGAGGGCGAACGTTGCAAACAACCCTCCGTCTTGATTTTTTCAAGGCATGACGGGGGTCTTGGGAGACCCTGACGCGGGCCCAACATCGGGGGGCGGGCTCTAGGCCCCAGATTGGCATGTTCCAGCATCCAGCGCGGCGCTTGTGACGAAGGAGCACCGCTGGTGCGGGGGAGATCAAGAATGTGGAGGGTGAGGAGGAGGAGCAGCAGAAGGAGGAGGAGGAGGAGGAGGAGCATGAAGAGGAGGAGAAGGAGGAGGAGGGGGAGCAGCAGCAAAAGGAGGAGGGGGAGGAGGAGGAGGAGGAGGAGTAGGTAGCAAGAGCAACTTTAGGGGGCGATAGGCCCAGGGGGGGCTGCATCGGCCCCCAGTCACGCACTGATCGCCGATAGGGGCCCGATAGCCCACCCCGCCTGGAAGGTTTCGCTTCGCTATCGGGGCCTATCGCCAGTCTATCGGCGATGTATCGTCGACTCCAGGTCGATGATTCCTCCCCTGAGCCGGTCACCCCCCATCGCCCCCCCTGAAGGTAGAGCAGGACGAGAAGTTGGAGGACTTGGCGCAATGAAGACAGTCAAGTCTCTGCTGCGTGAGGCCAGCACACCACAGAAGACGAGCACGGGAGACCAGGCGGGCACGGCGGACCAGCACGGAAAACAAGCGCGGCAGCCCAGACCAGCACGGCATGCCAGGCATTACACATTGAGCACGGCACGCAGGCATGGTCTGTTCGCACATGTTTTGTGCGTGCCTTCCCATCCCACTGTCTCTCTTCCACTATATCCAGCTCGTGCTGTGCTCTGTCTCGGCCTTCGACCCCGTTCTGCCCGCTCGCTCGAAACTCATGGCTCAGGCGAGGGAGGGGTCTTGCTCGCGGGAAACGTTGTGGAAAGGGGGTGACCCCCGCGGGATTTTTTTTGTGAAGGAGAACTATGCATGTCGTTCGACCGCCTGCGCCCAGTTGGCTGGTGTGATTCTCGCTGGCTCCGAAGGGCCTCTTTGGTTCAATTCGCCCTCTGAGACGCATCGCCCAGCTCTGCATCGTCGAAGTGGCTCGCGGTCGCCGTGTGCTCTCAGCGGCGTGCGGGGCGCTCGCGGCAGCCACCTGCCTTTGCAGGGGCACCCTTGTGCCAGGGCCCATGCGCCATCGTGGCGCGCCGCTCGCAACAGCCTCCGCTGTTGCGGCGTTCGGCCCTCCCGCGTTGGCCGGTTAGATCGGCGATGCTACGAAGAAGCTCGGCGTCGAGTTGTACTCCTTCGCTAAGGGGATTGGCTGGAACACGGCGTCTACCTGCAGGCTGTCGGGAAGTCCCAGCCGCTGGAGGCTCTGAAGGCCACCGATACAATTGTCGCGATGGGCGCCCAGGTGGACCCGAAGCTCTTGAAAGCCATGGCGGAGGCCCACAATGCAATCGGCAGCGCCAGCGGTGGGAACGGCGTGACCACGCAGGCCGATTGGGATGCCGGCGCTCGGCCGCGTGATCGCTTCCTTGCCAGAGTCCACGGTGATGGCTTCGGCCATCGCGGACTCGAGGGAGCCTGCGTGCACGAAGTATTCGGTGAACGGTGCCGATGCCGAGAAGGCGTGCTCGGCCTTCCTGGCCTTCAAGGGCGTGGCGAAGAAAAGCCAGGTGTCCTCGCCGGGACCCGCTGCGGCGGCGCGCTCCGCCGACAGCGTCGTCGCGGAAGCCAAGAAGAAGCTGTCGGGCGCGTCGTGCCCGTTGGACTTCCTACGTCTACCTGAAGGCTCCCCCTGCCCTCCGGCGACAGCGTCGGCGCGGCAGCCAAGAAGCTGTCGGGCGCGTCTTCCTGAAGTCCGTGGATCGGATTTCCGACATCAACTGAAGCTTCCCCCCGGCGTCTCGGCGAAGGATGGCCATCAGGCCGTCGATTCGGCCACCGCTATGGGCGCCGCGGGGGATGGGGGCGCGCTGAAAGCGACGCCGCAGGTGCGCCGCAAGGCCATCGGTGGCGTCGACGCCAGCGGCGTGACTTCGGCCGCCGACTACGAGGCCGTGAGCGCGGCGCGTGGCCACGTGGTCGCCGCGGCGCCGACTGCGAAGGGCACGGGCGTCAGCAGGGCGTTCGCCGAGATCGCCCCTGGGCCCGTGACCGACAAAATGTTCTCCACGGTGGGTCCTCTGGCGGCGAATGCTGCTGCCAAAGCGTTACGCGAGTCCAAGGACGCGGTGATGGCAGCCCGCTGAGCAGAGCCCCCGGGGCTGATGCCGAGGAGCTGCCAGGTCCGCGCTCGCGTCAAGATGTGAGCGCGTAGTTTATATGTTTGGTTGTGTTTTGCGTTCGTGCGATTTGATCGAAGACTCCCGAGGCGAACCGCTGCCGCCCCCTGCCTTTCAGGAATCGCGCATCTGGCCAACTGTTGGGGAATCTCTTGGACTTTGGGCTACCCCGGCCGCTGTGGATACCCTTCGGGGAACTCGCGGAGTAGGCAGGGGGGGATCAGGAGAGGGAGGATGAGGAAAAGGCGGAGGGGGCCTCTCGTATGCCTGTTTGTGTTTTTTCTTGGGGTCTCGTGGGAGTCTCTTGGGGTCACCAGGGGCCGTCCTTGGGCCATGTTGGGTCGTCTTCAGACCATCTCTGGCCATCTTTGTCGTGTTGTGGCGCCTGGGAAGCATGCGTTCACATCTCGGCTTTCTAGGAGACCGTCGTGGCCGTCTTTGGCTCCATCTTGGACCATTTTCGCCGTTTTGGAGGCCAGCTCGGACCGTCTTGGGGCCCTCTCGGGGGCCTTTTTCCCGCGGCCTTTTGGGGCCGCGTTCGGGCCGTCTTGGTGGCCTCGTTGGCCGTTCGAGGCTGTTGGGAACCCGAACTGGCGAGAACGCTGACATCACTGACAGACATAATGAACGTCAATGAATTTGAATTTCTTGGAGGCCTTCAGTAGGTCATCTGGTAAAGACCTGGAGCGCCTCAGGGGCCTTTTAGGCCTTCTTCAGGCCACGGTGGGCCGTTTCGGGTCCATCTTGGCCGTCTTGAAGGCATTTTAGGGCCATCTTCGGCCCTCTTGGGGATATGTTGCACGTCTTGGAGACGTCTTGGGACCGTCTTCATCTGGTAGGACTGTTGGGCCGTCTGAGGTTGTCGGAACCCAAACACATTAAAACCACGTACTGTAAATCACTGAGTTTGCTCCCCGTCCCCCCCCTCCCCCCCGAGGGCTCAATTGAGAAATCCCTGCCATCTAGGGTCCATTGGGGTAAGTTGGAGCATCTCAGGGGCTTCTTATGCCGTCGTGGAGCCATCTCATGGGCCTCTACGGATCATCTTGGAGCGTGTTGGAGGCTATTTGGGGCTATCTCGGACCCTCTGAGGGGTTCTGCGCGTCTTGGGTGCGCCTTTGGGACCGTCTTGCAGGCCATCTTGGGCCGTCTTAGCCGTTATGGACGCACTCTTGGACCGTCCAGGTGCCGTCTTGGAGCCCCTCGACGGGATCTTTTGGGCCGCCTTCGCTCCATATTGGATGGAAAGGTTTTGGGCCGTCTGAGGCTGTGGGAAGCTCAAAATGGCGAGCTACCATTAAAACAGTGCGTTGTCAACCAGTGAGTTTGAGCCACCTGGGAGCCTCCTGGAACTCCCTGTGGAGCAACTTTCAGCGTGTCAGGGGCCCTCCTAGGCTGTATTGAGGTCATCTTGTCTTGTCTTCGAGGACATCCTGAACCGTTTTGGGTCCGTCCTGGGGCCATTGGAGGCATCTTTGGGCCATCCTGGGCTGTTTTGGGGGATCTTGTACGTCTTAGAGGCGTCTTTGGGACCGTCTTGGATGTCATCTTTGGCCATCTTAGTTTCCTTGGAGGCCATATTGACCTTTCTTGGGGACGTCGTCGGGCACTCTTTGAACACTGTTGGTCAATTTGGATGCCTTTTGGACCATGTAGGCAGCTGGGAACCCGAAGTAGTAAACATGCAAATGCCATTGAGAAGACACCAGAAACAAGTGGCACACTTGCCAAGGCTCTTGCACAGAAGAGAGCGGGTAGGAGGAGGGGGAGGAGGTGAAGGAGGAGGGGGAGGTGCTCGGAGATGGCCTCAAGACGGTTGAAGGTGGCCCCAACAAAACGGCCCCAATTGCTCGCGGATGCTGGGGCTGTGCGTGCGTGCCTAAACGGAATGGTCGGGGCGGAGGGGGCGCGCCGGTTGGGTGTCGAGGGAGAGCTTGGCTGGCTGGCGGAAGGGGGGCGCGGTGCCGGTGCTGTTCGGGCGTGTCAAAAAATGGTCGGGGCGGAGGGAGCGCGAGACTACCCTGGTGAAAAACCTTGTGTTTTCCAGATTTTCCAGATAATCAAAATCTCCCCAGAGACTGCCCTGGTGAAAAAACCTTGTGTTTTGAAGATTTTCCAGATCTCCCCAGAGACTACCCTGGTGAAAAACCATGTGTTTTCCAGATTTTCCAAATATTCCAGATCTCCCCAGACTCTACCCTGGTGAATAACCCGGTGTTTTCCAGATTTTCCGGATATGGGTGCCATGCGTGCGTGCCGAAATAAAATGGTCGGGGCGGACGGGGCGCGCGCGCGCTGGGGGGCGAGGGCGAGGGGGAGCTGGGCTGGCTGGTGGCGGAGGGGGCGTACTGGCTGGTGGGCGAGAAGGTGGTATTGGAGCGGCTGCTGGGGGGGATGAGAAGTGCGCGGCGCCAGTGCCGTGCGTGCGTGCCGAGATAAAATGATCGGGGCGGATGGGGCGCGCTGGCTGGGGGGAGAGCGGGAGCTGGGCTGGCTGGGAGGGGGGCGGGCGGTGCCAGTGCCGTGTGTGCGCGCCGAAATAATATGGTCGGAGCTCCAGACGCCCTGTGCAACAATTCTGACCTCCTGGGAGCATCTTGGAGTCCTCTTGGACCGTGCCAGAAGCATCTTGGGCGGTCCTAAGGCTATCTTGAAGTGTCTTGAGGCCATCTTGGGCCGTCTTGGAGGCATCTTGGGCGGCCCTGATACCATCTTGCAGCGTCTTTGGCCGCCTTTGGAGGCCATCTTCGACCAAGTTAAAGGCCATATTAGCCGTCTTGGAGGCCACCTTCGCACCATCTTCGGCGCGAGAAGCCTTGCCTGAGCACTTCTGCGCTTCTTCCGTATGGCCGGCTGGATCGGCCGAGACCTCCCGGGAGCCGTTTCGAAGGGTCCCGAGCAGTGAAATGTCTGGCACGCCGACAGCCCCCCCCTTGTGGCAGGGACAGGGGGCGGCGCATCGAGGAACCCACGGGAGCTCCCCGTGTCCCGGCATAGCGCGCCCCTCGGAGTGTGCGGCGGATGCGGGGGTGAAAGGAACAAGCGGCGATCCTCGTCACTCCCGATGGGGGCCGGGAGCGAGCAACGCAGGAGTACAGCTCGTGCCGGGAAGGAGCGACATGGTGTTGCCGTGCTGGTGTGGGAGTCTTGCGGCGTGGGCAGGGGGACCACGAGGAGCCTCCTGGAGGCCTCGCCCGGCTCGCAATAGTTGAATCATCTAGTCCACGCGCCCGCGACGTTTGCGCGGCAATGTTCCGGCGTGTGTCCGACGTGCATTCGACGTCAATCCGATGTACATCCGAGGTATCTCCGACGTAATTTGCGTCTCAAGTTGCCACGCGAGGTTTCCAGGATTTTCCTCGTAAGGGGGAGGAGGGGATCAACCCCTCCCCAGAAGGGAAGAAGGGGTTTGGAAGACCGAAATCGCTAAACCACCTGCGCCTTAATTGGCTGATGATATTTCGACCCTTGATCCTCAATCTTCCTCGACCCTTCGAGGCATGAGCAGCTGCACAATCATGAACTTTTGAAGGTCCGCGAGGACTTTCGAAAGAGAAAGCTAGTCGATCCTCTTCGATCCTGGATCCCTGAACTTATTTGATCCACCTCTATCCTCCTCGATCTTCCTTGATCCTCTTCAATCATCCCCGATCGATGCTCGATCTTTTGACACATCCGTCTTTTAATAGCAACGCTCGCCAGATGTCTGGATCCCATCCCAAAGACAGGCTTCTCATCACGATTAGCTTTTTGTTCAGTCCTGGGGCCCGGCGATGGCCCCGAGAGGCCGAAACTGGGCGAACACCCTCCGTCGTGATTCTCGTGCAATGAGAAAATGTCAGGGCTCTTCGAACCCCCGCGATCTTCCTCAATCCTCTTCGATCCTCCCCGATCCTCCGCTACCCTCCTCGATGCTCCTCGATTCTCCTCGATCTGTGATCGTCCTCGATCCTTCTCGATGATCGACATCCTCGACCCTCCTCGACCCTCCTCACTCCTCCTCGATCCCCCTCGATGCCCGATCCTCCTCAGTCCTCCTCCATGCTCCTTCATCTCGATGCCCGATCCTCCTCGATCCTCCTCGACGCTCCTCGGTCCGCCTCGCCCGAGGTTCGGTCACGCCTTCGTGCTCTCGGAGGACGACGCGGTGCTCTTCGGCGGCTGGGGCGGAGCGCCCCGGGACACCCTCGGCCTGGGGGCCTCCGCCAAGGGGCGCACGGCGAGGCCCGGGCTGCGAGCCAGCCGGGGGCACCGCTTCGGGGGGGGTCTGCTCCGGGGGGGGGTGCCACCTCCGCCACAGGAGAGAAGTTCCGGGTGTTGCCAGGAGTGCCCCTGGCCCAGGGTGCCCCCAGCTTTTCGCTCCATTCTGGAGACCCTGGGGCCCTCTGGGCCTCGTGAGGGATGCTCTTGAGGCCGGCTGGGCCACCCCGAGAATCCTGGGGGCACTTTGGGCCAGGGGCACTTCTAGCAACACCCGATACACGGACACCCTCCATCAGGCGATCGCAAACATGTATCAAGGGCGCGTGGACTAGCGACGGGTCTCGTTTCCATGGGAAATCGCGGATTTCCGCCGCCGAGCGAGCCGGTACTGGCCGCATTTGAGGGCGGGCACGTCGCCCGATCCATGGATTTGGCGACCGCGCGCCAAATCCATGGATTGCTAACCCACGTTTGCGCGCCCCGACTCCAGCGGGATTGCTCCTAGGCCCAATGGGGAGGGTGGCAATGCATCAATCACCACTGCGGGCCAGCGATATCATACACGGCCGCCCTTCCATGAAGATACAGGGGGATCGCGATGCACGTCGTCCTCCACGCGGGCGTGATCCCGGACAACACCCTAGGAGCGTATTTGTTCTAATTGCTATCTTTGCCTAATTGGTTTCTCTATCACGAGTTTTCTTTGGGTGATCTTTGGTTCCTATTCTGTTTTCTTACGCTCTCAACACGGGGTGGCAAACCCATTCCCTCTTCGGGGGGTGCCCTTCTTCCTGTTTTTTTCCTGGCTCCTTCCTGGCGGGGCGGGAACGTGCAACACCCCGGAGTTCCAGGGGAGGCCGTTGGGATTCCCTTGGGATCCTCCCTCCCTCTTTGGGCTCCGGGGGCAGGAGGTTGTTGCGCCTGATCACCGCGCGACCTCTTCTTGGGCTCTGTATTTGTCTCGCTTTCTGGCTTCCTGATCCTTCGTGGCCGCCACTCTTCTTGGCGTCTCGTAGGGGTTACCCGGATAATCCACGACAGCACTCTAGAAGCTCACTCCTCTCCTGGGAGTCCTTGCCCTGGGGGGTGTCAGCCGCAGCGTGGCCGGGGCCTGGGCTCCCCCCCATGCCCCTCCTCCTCCTCCTCCTCCTCCTTGCCCCCCCCCCTCCTCCTCCTCCTCCTCCTCCTCCTCCTCCTCCTCCTCCTCCTCCTCCTCCTCCTCCTCCTCCTCCTCCTCCTCCTCCTCCTCCTCCTCCTCCTCCTCCTCCTCCTCCTCCTCCTCCTCCTCCTCCTCCCTCCTCCTCCTCCTCCTCTCCTCTCTCCTCCTCCTCCTCCTCCTCCTCCTCCTCCTCCTCCTCTCTCCTCTTTCCTGCCTTCCCCGTGGCACGGGGTTCCCAGGGCTGCCTCGTAACGGTTCACTCCCCCCTCCTGGGCGCGGGCGTTCTTTTCTCGTTTTTTTTTCTTGGATTCAGTGGGCTCTGATTTGCGTTTATCTGCACGCGTCTATCCATGAGACCTTGGGGGCGATTGTGCCCACGGATGTTACTCCAGGTCTGTTCGGTCATTGTGTCCACAAGGCCGAGGCCTACGTGCTGAGGCTGGGCGGGCCTACGTGCCACGGCTTACATGCCGAAATTGAGACCGTTGAGGCTGGCCGCCCTTCTTGGGGGTCTATGTTGTTTGATTTTTACATCCGCTAGAATTATTCCTGCCCACAGGGTGAGGGTTTTGGCCCCTGTGCACCGATTAGTACACCCTTCATCCCTCGTCTGCATATGGGTTCGTTTTCTTTGGCCGCCCTGCCTCATCCTCCTTGTGGTCTCGATAGGCGCTCGGTCTTTGTCTATTGCTTCCACCCTGCGGCTTCTTGTACCGAAGGAGGCGGTTGGGGGGCCATAGTTCTGGCCGTCAACCCCAACAACAACAACAACAACATGAAGATACAGGGAACACTCGTCGGCGGGTGTTTGTGGTACACCAGTTTTCGTGGCCAATCATCGATCAGAGGACAACGCATCGATACCGCTACTCCGAGTTTCATAATACAAGGGGGGACGGTCTCATTTCGGTGTGTCTGATTTGAGCTTTCTTGGAGGGTCCCAGGGGGTCTGGGCAAAAGGCCGCCCTTTCGTGGCTGGTCTGGGGGTGTTCTAAGATTGTTCGTCTGGGAGGGTTGTGACCCCCCCCCTTTCCTTATGACATCGGGAGTGCCCACTCTTCGTCGCCACCGCTGGATTCGTCTCGAAATTGTGTTCAGCACGCGCCCCTGGACAGGATTACGGAGTAGCGGTATCAATCTGTGTTTATGCCCCCCCATCGCCCCCCAATCTCAAAAAATAGCAAATCTGCATATACGTAAATGTTTGATGTCTGCGCTGATATTTGGGATTCGAAAAATCTGCGATATATCCGTGATGCATCGTCGATACCAAGTCAGTGTTACCCCCCCGGGCAATCTCCCCCCTATCGTCCTCCAGCCAAGGAGAGGAGGGAGGAAGAGGATGATAGGAGGAGGAGGGCCTCAGATCCAGGCGAGGCAACGGACAGCGGCGACGGCCATTTGCTGGAAGTCTGCGGCCTCTGGAGGCTGCTTCCCAGCCCCGGGGCCGTCAACAATTAGGAGGGGCACATCGACATTACCACTCACACAAACGTGGTTTTTCATAAACATATGGGAACATAAAGGAAGCTGGGGGATGAGAAACACTCAGGAAGCACGGGAACACGTGGGGCATCCTGGAATGTGTGTCGATTATGTTGTGTATTCTTGTGCCTCTCTAAGCCAACGGCTCAGGACGAAACGCTGGCCCTGGGGAAGGGGTCGACTTCCCTGGGCGCCCGTAGCACGAAGAAATTGCGACGCCAAAGGAGGGGAGGAGGTCGCCATCGTCGTCTTCGCCTTCGGTTTCGTCGCCGCCGCCGCCGTCGTCGGCGTCGTCTTCGTCGTCGTCGTCGTCGTCGTCGTCGCCGTCGTCGTCGTCGTCGTCAACCTCGTTCTTGTCGTCGTTCACGTCGTCGGCGTCGTCGTCGCCGACGACTTGCGACGTCATCCCCCCGTTGTGTTTTTTAATTGCAGTGCCCCTCCCGAGGCTTGCAACTTGTCTTGCAAGGGGAAGTCTTGGGTCTCCAAACTACGCTGTGGGCCCCCGAACTACTATAACAACGACCCCCCTCACAATTTATTGAATAATCGCGCAATCGTTCGGGACATCATTGCCATGTACCACGAATCGTGCTCTCGCGTGGGGCCCCCTAGCGATTTATCCAGACGCTGCGCCCTCGACACTCAAGAATCACGCTTCCGCTGTTTGACCTCCTCATGATTTGCTTGGGAATCGCGCTATTGCTACAGACCTCCATGCGATTCATGCAGTACTCACGCCTCAAGGACTCGCCCGCTCGACCCGCCCGTCTCGGTCCGCCCGCACGACCCACCCGTCAGGGACTTCGATCGCCCCTTGCTGCCCTTCGACCGCCTTCCATGCCCCTCGCTGACCTTCGTGTTTCCGCAGTCGCCTTTAGCGGCTCCCTCGATGCCCTCGTTTCCCCCGCGATGCCCTTCGTGGCCTCTCTTTCTATACTCCTTTTCTCCTCGCTCTCTCTCTCTCTCTCTCGCTTTTTTCTTGTCTCCCTCCTCTTCTTGTTTTAGGGGTTGCGTCAGCTACACGTGGCAGGTAAGGAATACATACCTCCAGGGGGGGACGATCGAATACAAAGAGGGCTGATATCGAGGCTTTGGGAGATACATGTTCATCGACACGAGCAGATGGGAGCGAGTAGTCTTAACACGATTATAGGAAACCACAACTCCTGACCAGGACCAATCGCTCCCGTCAGTTTTTTGAAACAGTTTTCGATTGACCATATCATACGAATGCCACGCATTACTATCACCACATTTTTCTCGGCAGCCTGGACATGGGTGCTGGTGGTGCAGGATCAGTGGTATGTGCTGGGTCCACTCTGACCCTCCTCGTACTCCTTCATGCCATTTTTGTTTTGATCTAGTCCAGGGGGCTTCCCGGGGTTCTGCCAAATCCAGCGGAAGGGTATCGGAGGCCTGCGGCACTGCCGCGCGGGTGGTGCCGCTGGTGGAAGGTCGGTGGACGCGGGCGGAAGCAAAGGGTGCAACCCGACATCGAGAGGTCAATGCCGGCGTCCTCAGGGTCCCCTGGAATCTGGAGCTGGCTATTCGTGTCCCTCGCGAGACAGCAGCGGGAAGGCCGGCATTTGAGTGTGCAGGGCCGCTGCAGGTTTTCGTGCTGACTTGGCAACCACGCAGGCGCCTCGAGTCGGCCCATCCCGCTGTCCCTGGGAATCGCAAGAGATGTGACAGGCCTTCGGGGGCTCCAGCGGCTTTTCCCAGTTTGAGCCCTTCCTGTTACGATGCGGCCCCCCTTCGACTCATTTCCACATATTCCCTCCTTTCTGCTTCCTTCCTCCTTCCCTTTTCTTCCCTCCGTCTTTCCCTCCTCCGTCCTCCCTCCCTCTGTCCCTCCCTCCTCCCTCCCCCCTCCTTCCTTCCTTCCCTCGTGCCTCCCTCCTTCCTCACTCCCCCCTCCCGCTTACTCCTCCCTCTCTGCCTCCCCCCTCCTTGCTCGCTCCTCCCTCTTCCCTTTATCCCTCGCTTCCCCCTCTCTCCCTTATCCTCTTCCCTGCTTTTGCAGTGGCGCAGCTGAGGCAGAAACCCGACGGGGGAAGGGGGGGAGGGGGAGTATGATGATGATGCTGATGATGATGCTGCTGCTGATGACGATGCTGATGCTGATGATGACGATGGTGACGATGCTGCTGATGATGCTGCTGACGACGACGGATGTCTGTGATGACGATGATTCTGCTGATAATGACAATGATGTTGATGCTGCTGCTGATGCTGATGGTAATGCTGATCATGCTAATGGTGCTGCTGATGATGCTGACGATGCTGATGATGCTGATGATGCTGGTGATGCTGATGATGCTGACGATGACGATGCTGCTCATGCTGATGATGGTTGTGGTGATGAGTATGATGATGCTGCTTATGACGATGATCATACTGATGCCTGTGATGGCGATGATGCTGCTGAAAATCCGTATGATGCTGATGAAGATGATGATACTGATGCTGATGATGATGATGTGTATGATGCTGATGATGCTGGCACGTATGATGATGCTGATGCTGATGCTGATGCTGATTATAATGCTGATTATGCTGCTGCTGATGATGATTGTGATGACGATGATGCTGATGATGATGGTGATGATGTTGATGCTGAGGATGATGAGATTGCTGCTGCTGATACTGATGATGATGATAGTGATGATTGTGGTCGTGATGATGCTGATGATGATAACGATGAAGCTGATCAAGATGATGAGGATTTTGCATATTGATAAGAGGAAATATGATGGTGATTATGATGATGACGACGATGCTGCTGCTGATGATGCTGATGATGCTGACGATGATTGTGGTGATCATGGTGATGGTAATGCTGCCGATGATGATTATGATGATGATGAGGAGGAGGAGGAGGAGGGCGATGATGAGGATGATGACGAATCCAAATGAGAAAACGAATAATATTACTACTAATAAGAATAACACGGTTACTAGTAGTAACATCACTAAACGTACTTGTACTACTCAATTTGATACTTGGAGGCAGACGAATGATAACAACAATGCTATTAATATCATTATCAAACTACATCAGAGTACTACCAATGATACTAATAATGCGAATAAGGCGAACATGCATAATACACTAGAGAACTAATACGAGGAAGAGGAGGAGGAAGAGGTGCGTGACAATCCTTTGTCTGTGAGCGGAATGCGAAAGAATCGGATACTGGGGGGGGGAAGCATTGTCCCCCGCCCAGTATGTGATAATCTTTGTGTGGGCCGAAGGAGAAGGAATCCGATTGTGGGGGAGGAAGCGTGCGCCCCCGCCAAGCATGTGAATACCCGTGTTTGAGGGCCGAATGAGAAAGAATCTTGTTCTGGGCCAGACAGTCATCATTCGTGCATGCGATCATCCGTGTATGAGGGCCAAATGAGGAGGAATCCGATTTTTGGGGGAAGCAAGCGCCCCCGCCCGCTATGTGATTATCCGTGTATGTGGGCCGAATGAAGCGCAAACCTATTGTGTGTGGGGGAGGAAACATGCGTCCCCGCCCACTATATAATAATCCGTGTCTGTAGGTTCCTCCGCCTCGCCTTCCTCGGCGGGGCACGCGGAAGTGGGAGAGGAGGAGGAGGAGGAAAAGGAGGAGGAGGACGAAGAGGAGGAGGAGGAGGAGGAGGGAGGGGGAGACCGGGGCCGTCGTCGTCTTGGGGGGCCGTCCAGACAAATCTGGTCAGGATTCGGTCCCGTTCGAGCGTTGGCCCGGAACGAGGATCCGGGGCTGTTTGGGGTCGCTGTTGGGACGGCGGTCGCTCCGGCAGCGGAGTTGACTGGACTGTCTCCCGTGGCGACGACCGCTCTGGCTTTCTTCTCTTCCTCTTCCTCCTCCTCTTCCTCCTCCTGCTCCCCGTGGGAAGGAAAGGGGAGGAGGAGAAGCAGGAGGAGGAGAAGCAGGAGGAGGAGGACGAGAGGAGGAGGAGGCGGAGGAGGAAGGAGGAGGAGGAGGGGATGGAGGAAAAGGGGATGATGATGATGATGATGATGATGATGATGATGATGATGATGATGATGATGATGATGATGATGATGATGATGATGATGATGATGATGATGATGATGATGATGATGATGATGATGATGATGAGATGATGATGATGATGATGATGATGATGAGGAGGAGGAGGAGGAGGAGGAGGAGGAGGAAGAAGAGGGGATGGAGGAAAAGGGGAGGAAGAGGAGGAGGAGGAGGTGAAACAAGAAGAGGAGTATGCAGAGGGGTATGGAGGGGGGGCGAACGAGCTGGAAGAGTAGGAGGAGGAGGAGGAACAGGAGGAGGAAGAGGAGGAGGAGGAAGAGGAGGATGAGGACGGGGTGGGGGGGCACATGCGGATGGGGGGAATTGGGGCGACGGTGAAATGAACGAGGACGAAGACGTGAGGGAAGAGGGGGATGGGGGGAGGAGGATGACGACGTGACCCACGCTCGAAGGCAGTCGCCGCTTGGGGGTTTGTGGGGGCACATTGTGACTTCTAGCTGCCCTTGCAAACGCATCGTTCTTGTTATGAACTCTGGGGACCTTTTCGGGGTCCTCCTGGGTGTTTTGAAGGCCCTCTTAGGGGACATTGTGGAGGACGCCAATCGAAGGAGAGGGCGCCCTCGACTGAAGCCGCTACTTGAGAGACCACATGCACATCTCTTGGAACCGTTTTGGGTGTGCTCCAAGGTCGTCTTCGAATTCTCTAGGCCCCTCCCAGTTCTCTTTGGGACGATCCTGGCGCCATCATGAGTCCCCAGAAGAATGTCGGAGGCGACAGTTCGCGAAGACGAACGCCATTGCAACATTTCATGCTTCTCAAGGGCAGTATTGAAACATCTCGTTGCGACTTGGAACAGTTTTGTGATGGTCGCGGGGCCTCGTCGATAATTGCTGGGGATCGTCTTATTACGTTTGGAGATATCTTACAAGCCGTCGATCCTTATGATTATGATGGTGATGATGATGGTGCTTATGATGATGTTGATGATGATGAATATGACGATGGTGATGACGATTCAGATGACGATGATGATGACGATGATGGTGATACTCATAATACTGATGAGGATGCTGATGGTGATGCTGATGACAGTGATACTGATGATGATGCTGCTGCTGCTGATGAAGATACTGCTGACGCTGAGGAGAAGAGTGATGATGATGAGGATGATGATGATGATGAGGATGAGGATGGGGGTGATGATGAGGATGAGGATGAGGATACTGATTATGCTGATGCTGAGGATGATGATACTGATGCCGCCGATGATAATGCTGATGCTGATGCTGGTGCTGATGCTGATAATAATGATGATGATGATGATGCTAATGATGATTAAGACAACGGTGACGACGATGGGGATGATGCCGATGATGATGATGCTGATGATGATAATGATGATGATGATTGTGATGATGATGATGATGATGATGATGATGATGATGATGATGCTGATACTGCTGATGCTGCTGATGATGCTGCTGATGGTCATAATGATGACACTGATCATGCTCATGACGATGACTATGATGATGACGATGGTGATGATGCTGCTGATGCTGCTGCTGCTGATGAGGCTGAAGATGCTGCTGATGATGACACTGATGATGATGACGATGATGATGATGCTGTTGCTGCTGATGCAGATGATGCTGCTGCTGATGATGATGCTGATGTTGATGCTGATTTTGATAATGATTTTGATGATGATGGTGATACTGATGACGCTGATGATGGTAATGATGATGCTGATGCTGTTGATGATGCTGCTGCTGATGATGATGATGCTGACGTTGATGATTATGACGATGATTATGATGATGCTGATGATGATGATGAGGATGCTGATGCTGCTCCTGATGATGATGCTGATGATGACGATGATGCTGATGATCATGGTGATGATGCTGATGCTGATGATGATGCTGATGATGGTGGTGGTGGTGATAGTGATGGTGGTGATGATGATGCTGCTGATGATGATGATGATGTTGATGATAATGATGATGATGCTGATGCTGATGCTGATGATGCTGATGATGCTGATGATGATGCTGATGTTGTTGCTGATGCTGATGATGATGGTAATGATGGTGGTGGTGGTGCTGATGATAAAGATGATTTCGATGATGATGATGATGATGATGACGATGATGATGATGATGATGATGATGATGTATGATGATGATGATTATGATTATGATGATGATGATGATGATGCTGATGCTGATGCTGATGCTGATGCTGATGATGCTGATGATGCTGCTGATGATGGGGATGATGCTGATGATGATGATGATGATGATGATGATGATGATGATGATGAGCATCATGATTATGAACATGATGCTGCTGATGCTGCTGATGATGATGCTGATGCTGATGCTGGTGCTGATGCTGCTGATGATGCTGCTGCTGATGAAGATGCTGCTGCTGATGATGATGATCTTGATGATGATGATGATGATGATGATGATGATGATGATGATGATGATGATGACGATGATGATGATGATGATGATGATGATGATGATGATGATGATGAAGAAGAAGAAGAAGAAGAAGAGGACGAGGAGGAGGAGGAGGAGGAAGAGGAGGAGATTGAGGAGGACGAGGAGGAGGGGACGGAGGAGCTGCTGGGAAAGCGGGGCCGCCGACGCCCGAGAGGCCCGACGGCCAGAACCCCGGCGGCGAGGAGGAGACGTGCGATTATTGCATGACGCTTCGGACATCGGACATGACGTGGGTACAGAACCGGCGCCCCTTTTCCTATTGGGAGGGAGGGAGGGGGGGAGGAAGGGAGGGAGGGAGGGAGGGAGGTAGGGATGATGATGCTGATGCTGATGCTGATGCTGATGCTGATGATGATGATGATGATGATGATGATGATGATGATGATGATGATGATGATGATGATGATGATGATGATCATGATGATCATGAGGAGGAGGAGGAGGAGGAGGAGGAGGAGGAGGAGGAGGAGGAGGAGGAGGAGGAGGAGGAGGAGGACGGGGGGAGGAAGATTTGTTGTTTCCTCCGAGGAGGGATTATTTTCCAGGCTCCAGATGCAACGACTGCAGGGCCCGTTGCCAGGACAGACAAATGGTGGGTATCCTCCCAGCTTGTCAGGTTTTTTTCAGCGGGGAAACCTTCACACAGCCTCTGTAGAACCTCCAACTGGTCCGAGGGGAAGGAGGAGGAGGCGGAGGAAGAGGAGGAGGAGGAGGAGCTGGAGGTGGAGGATAATGATGAGGCGGCATGAGGAAGGCTCTTTTTGAGGAGGAGGAGGAGTAGGAGGAGGAGAAGGGGGAATAAGGACGGTCGGAGGAGCGGGAGGTGGAGGGAGGGAGGAGGAAGAATCAGGTGGCTGGAAGAGGAGGGCTTTGTGGAGGAGGAGGGAGGAAGCGAGAGGAGGAGGAGGAGGAGGAGGAGGAGGAGGAGGAACTGGACCAGTGTAAAACGAAGACGCATCACTAATGTTGCTGCATACCCTCCCTCCAAGTGCCCTCTTCACAGGCCTCAGCAAGGATTCATCTTCATGGCTTCATTGCAAGACGTGCCTCGTTGGAATCCAACTGTCTGAGAATCTTCATTCGTGCCAAAACAGAATTCCTGGGACTCCAACGCTTCGAATCAACGTGGCTTCTGCGTCCTGGCAATCCTAAGCCGTGCCAGAACATCATCAATTTGACCCCGCGATACGACACGTTGGAACTGCTGCAGACTTTCAAGACGAATGCTCGCGGCGCTAAGGCGAGGGCTACATGTTGAAAAGGAACCGCTGTCCATCCCTGGAACTGCTGCACACTTTTCAGGCGAATGTGCGCGGCGCTAAAGTGACAACCACATTTTGAAGTCGAAATGCCCTACATCCTTGAAGCTGCTACAAACTCCGCGCTTCATGATCATCAATGGTGAGGCAGTCCCAAGCGACATGCTGGGCCCGCCCTGCCGAAACGCTTGGGCGTGCGACAGGGAAGAGTTATGGATGAGGGCAAGAGATGGAGGAGGAGGGGGACAGAGGAAGAGGGAGAGCAGGAGAAGGAAGAGGAATTTTATGATCATCCGTAGTAGTAGTAGTAGTAGTAGTAGTAGTAGTAGTAGTCGTAGTCGTAGTCGTAGTAGTAGTGTAGTAGTAGTAGTAGTAGTAGTAGTAGT